TTACAGCAGTTTTACTATCTTTCTGAGTGTCTATAATACTGTAGTTAGAGTGGTGAGAGACACAACTCACTGTCTTTCTGTCAGTAATGTCAGTAACTCTGTTTTTCTAAATAATAATGTTGTAAAGAATAACTCTCTTCAGTATTGTTTCAGTATGTTTACTGACTAACTTGTTTGTCTTTCAGAGATGCCTAACAAATCAGATTGGCTCTTTGTGAATCTACTACTTCTCAATGGGTTCTCTGTCTTCTGCATAGGTACTGTGAAGAGAGCATCTTCTTGGTGTTTTATAATGACTAGGATGTGAGTCTATTACGTCTGAAACTTTCCAATAAATGATAGGAGGTTGTCACAGACTGTACTTGAAGCTTGTAGTTGTTTATTGATATTTTGATCTCAAAGTTGTTTATGTAATTGTTTCAGTATTTTATTGCATTTCAGTACTATATGTTTTGGATATGGTGGTATGGAAAGTAATTCGATGTTAAATCTGGAGCCGTGTATCCGAAATATTTCAGTATATAAAGGTTCAGAGAAAACAATCAGAGACACAAAGAGTCTCTTCTTACCTACGAGCAGAGTAACAGAACTTCACTGAATTCAGTCGCAGCACTTCTATCACTGAGTGAAGGTGAGGATTGTCCTGGGTCAGAGATCCAGACCCCAGTTTGAGGATCACTGGTGTGAAATAGAGCAGATGTTGAGACAAAGGACTTTAGTTCTACTCAGTCACTTGTGGTTCTAAATCAGGGAGGGGCTGTTCATTTAAAATGTTGTATGGTGACATTCTTTATTCCCCCAGTAATTAGTCTGTTAACCTGTATCAGTGTTTCTGTCTGTCTGTGTAGAGGTTGAAGGCTCATGTAAGCTGTGTTTCTTTCTTTTTCAGAGAAGTTTCAGGTTGTTGGTCCAGATGTTCCTGTCGTTGTTTTCCCAGGTGAAGACACTGTTCTGCCCTGTTACCTCTCACCAAACATCAGTACTATGGACCTGGAGATCAGGTGGTTTAAAAAAAACTTTGCATCTCCTGTGATCTTATTCAAAAACAAAAGGTACAACCGTGATTTGCAGGACGAATTCTACAGGGGAAGGGCTGAACTTTTCCCAGATGAGCTTCTCCATGGCAATGTGTCTCTAAAACTGAGGGATGTGAAACACTCTGACCATGGACAGTACACATGTCTGGTGGAGTCTACTGAACATTATGAAGATACTCAAATAAACCTTGGCGTAAGAGGTGAGAAATTTCCCAGACTTCTTACCTGATTTCTTGAATAAAATAAAGGCTAAACATCACTGCACCAATATCTCTATGCTAAACACAATAGGTTCTATCAAACCTGTCTACAACCTTCAGTGTGTCCCATTCAGATTAGCCAGTGAATGACCAACAACCCTGAGGCTACAGTGGTGTCAGTGATGTAGTGTATGTTGCACTTTTTCTGCAAGTGGGTTATATTCTGAGAATAGAGTATGTAGGGCATACCCTGAAGAAGATAGATTACTCTAGTGCCTTCAGCTTCCAGCTAGTTGGAACAAATATCGTTTGTCATTATGGATGTCAAAGGGTGTAAAGAAGGTGGCAAAAGGATCAATTTTTTTAGGAAAAAGGAGAGGACACTATAAGGCGGAAAAGGTCTCTGAGTTATAATTAAGGTTCCTTAATGTTAATATACTAATACCTGTATAAGGCAATGCGATCGAGACATCTAGTGGAACACTCTGGTGACAAGAATAGGGTGAGATTAGGTTTGACATCAGACTTTATTTTTCAGTGGTCTAGAGGTTGAGGAAGTTGTCCTCGGTGTTGATTGTCATTCAGCTGAACATGTTCTTGAAACCTAGAACAACTGTTGAAGCTTGAGTTTGGGGTTGATTTATGAGTTGAATCAATCCTGTTTCTGAGTAGTTTTGGCTGTATTTGTCATAATTTTCGAATATCTCAGTTTTATTTGGTATCTAACATTTGGAGCATCTGTGTGTTTACCTTTCCTGCAGGAGGTTGAATTGGACACTCATTAAGTGTTGACATGGTGTCTCCAGAAGAGACAATTTTATCAGATGCATTATTGAGAAAACATCCAGATAATAAGTGACTCTTTGTTTTTTAAATCAGCTCCCTACTTTAGAATGGATATGGATATTTCCATACCACCTTAATGGTGGTATGGAATGTAATTAGATAAAATAAATCAATTATCTTAATCTTTAACAGGAGAAATAATGTTCTACTTCAGTCCTCAAGACTTGTCCATGTCATAGGAGACAAAATTGTATTGTACTGTTAACCCCCCACTACCAGGACAGAACTGACTTGTAAAAGCATACAGTAATTTTTGAAATTTCTGCAATACTCCTCATATGAAACTAATGTATTGAGTTAAACAACACAATTTTAGTTCTCTTATTTGGATAGTAAACCACATGAAAATAAATTCTAATATACTCTATTGAGTGAATAAAAAAAACAAAAGTATGAAAACAGCATGGACACTCTGTATTTTACTTGCTCATTATCTCAGCAGCAGTAAACATCAAGAACAAGTTCACCGTACACTGGATACCAGATTGTTTTCACTCCCAATATGGGTTCATCTAGGACTTTTCTGAGCTGTCATAAAGGCCGCAGATGGATAGAAACACAGTAAAAAAATAACACAAAAACTCCCAGTCGTCACAGGAAGGGACATTAGAGAGCACAGAGGTGCCTAAGCTGTGATGTCAGCACAGTCCACATATTTACTCCTAATATGTGTTATTAACATAAAGTGTTAATAAAAAATATAATAAATAACACAACATGGAACAACACAGCACTATGTACATACACCTCCAGTCTGCACAGGTACAGTAGGAACATCATTTCACTCTTCTCCCTGTGCCAAACCTCTTGCCTACACACACAGACATGATGGCCATCCTGATTACATTTTACTCCAATTTGCTTTTGTAAGCTCTGAAATATCTCACCATATATTATATTGTTATGAATTCACAGCCCTGGGCTCCCAGCCCTCAGTGTCTCTCCACACCCCTGGAGGAGATCAGACTCAGCTGCTATGTAGATCGGAGGGGTGGTATCCCGAACCTGCAGTGATCTGGATAGACAGGGATGGAAACGATGTGACATCCCTTTCCAAAACCACAGTGGAAAAGGACAGTCAGGAGTTCCTGAATGTGAGCAGCTACATCCCAGTCAAACAGGAATCCAATGTCTTCTCCTGTATGATTATAAGTGTTCTACCTGAACCAGACTGGGGATCTCAGCTCCACATTCCGAGTAAGTATTAATGATGAACACCAGAGCTCACCTGATATACAGTATTACACACACCCAGGATGTAACACAACCTGGTCACTGACCACACTCAAACGGTATACTATTAATTATAGCTCTTTACAGCTTTTTGAGCTTTTGTTTCTGAGATATTTAGGATTACTATGGAATTCATGATAAATATTGAACATCTGAACCATTTTTGTGTTTGGATTTGAAACAACAGCCTCTGTTCTTTGATGATGAAAACAATGATAATTATTCATGGTGTTTGCACAGCTTTCATGATTTTATAATATCCATGAACCACTAAACATGGGCAAAAATTGATAATGAAGAAAGAGATTGCTGTCTTAAATTTGAGGAACTGAAATTTTCCTGCTTGCAAAAACACACCAAACATCTCTTTTTGTTTGTAATAGGGAAACAAAACTTCCCATTTGTTTAGGAACCATTTAGAGAGAGAATTATCCCTGAGTAGATTTTTTTTTGATGAGACACAGGCTCCCTCCTTGTCTTTATGATCTTTTTTTTTGCATCATTTGTCAACAAGAGATATTTTCCATGTATGAAAATCCAGAACTCTGGATCTCACAGATCTGTGAATATTTTTACAAGTCACAAAATGTTGTGTGTTGTTATATAAGTATTGATTTGCTGCCTGTGTATTACTACTGGTCTGTGTCCGAGAAAAAAGAAAATATGTGCTGCTACAGTATATGTGAAATTCCCTGGCTGTTGAGGGGCATTTGATTAACTTTCATCAATTTGCTTGTAGAACTTAGTTTGTTTTCATTTTTACAATTTTAAATTTTAAACCACCTTGTTTATAGTAATAGTTAATACATTTATCCAAGTCATTCCCAGTGAGAAACCTCTTAGAAAACTTTGTGATGTAATGATACTGCACAATGGGAGTCCATTGAGAAGGCAGAAGGGTCTTCTTCCCTGTATCTGTGTCCCTGACTTCATGTTCATGCTCCTGTTGAATAATATTCCTGTGCCTTTTCCTAGGAGACTTTTTTCCTGGACCCTCAGGATGGATGGTGTCTCTGTTCTTAATAGTAACTATTACTGTAGCAGCATCAACACTTCTGGTGATCCAGTGGAGAAGAATGGACAGTAAGTGGTCATTATATATGTGTGTCTGAACACTTGTGCTAGGAGGGGGTTTTAACACCATTATTTGACAGATTATGAAATCTTGTTTTTATTATGCCTCAGTGTTGTTTAGAGTTAACCACCGTTAAAGCCTTTGGGAAAAGTTTCAATCTACATTTTTAGTGTATTGTGTTCAAAATGTTATAACTATACACAGAAAATATACATCTCAAGCTTCTTATCCTTATCAGAGACCTCCCTAAATCTGCTTGCTGTGTATCACTTCTGCTGTGGCATGCCTCTCAGAACTGGGCCTGGGTTCTATTCTGGATCTGAGTTGCTATATGAGTGTGTATGTGTGTGCGTGTCTGCATTTTTATCAGTATCTGTGTGTGCCATTTGATGGCATCCCGCTGAGGTTACTAGTACTAGATGCTTGCCAGAACTAGATGATGCAGTTAGAAAATAAGGTGAAATCATGTGAAGTGTATGTGTAGCATCCTGTATCAGTATTATTGAATACACTGTTGGAATCTGAGATATACTATATTAGTGTGACTGTTTAAAAGTCATTGTCAGTGCAGGGGCCCGTATCACTATTAACTGACTGCACTGTTTGTTACAGAGGAGGAGACTATGTATATATTAAAGGGTGAGTAAATAATACATTATGTTTAATTTTATGAATATAAATGTCATTTGACTTCTTCTTTAAATGAAAGATTTCTGATTTTATTCTGATTTTAAATTTTAGTCAGTATACTGAAGGAAACAAATGCTTTTTTTATCCTTTTATTACATTAATATGTGGTGATAACAGTATGTACCTAAACAGGGTTGTGTATTAAATTATATTTTATCTTGTTTTTTATATTAGTCCATCTAACAATAAATGTCTTATTATTTGCAGTCAATCCCTTACTTCATAGAGAACTAGGTAAGTGTAAGTATGTATAAAGGATTCAAAACTTATGTAGACTGTTCATTCTCATTACAGTAAAGCTCTCTGGTGTTCAGTGGTGTTCTAAGGCTCAATGGTTTTCTAAGGTGCTGCCTGATAAGTTGGAAAAATACTATTCATAGCCAAAATTTACAGTAGCTGTATTATGAAGTGGAGGATTGTCTTTTAAAATATCTTTAATCACCTTTAACAACAAAAGGAACTAATTAATTCCCAGTTGAGATTTACTACATATTTTTGAATTTACACACACCTTTGGAGAGTGATATGTTTTACAAGGATATTCTTACCTGCTGTCAGTCAGTGGTCTTAAGTGCTGTAGACTCTGCAGATTCTTCAGACAACAGGTCATCAGTCCTCCTGTCCTGAGTGAACCATTTGTGTCACTGATACTGTGTAGGTCCTGCCTGTGTTCTATTGTGACAATCATTGTCTGTAGTGCTAAAACAATACAGTTCTGACAGCTGTGTGTGGAGCCACCTGAGAGCATATCTGTGTTAGACTGAGACTGTCTGTGTATCAGTCTTCCTGGATCTTGCTTGGTGTGGAGAAGTGCTCTCTATGGTGTATGACTGGTCATCCCTCACTGGTCCAGCTGTTGTCCAGAGATCAGGCAGTGTGGCCCAGTGAGCAGGATACCTCTGTATCTCATTCAGTGATGCTGGTTACTATGGGTACACAGTAGGTCAATCAGTCTGTGAGAGCAGACAACACCGTCACTTGTGTGACTAAACAATGAACAGCTTATTGTATCGGTGATGGTTCTATGAAGTGTCTTACTTATCTTTCTCGATGGCTGAAGGACCAGACACCCAGGGTGTCCTGTGATATGTCTGACTTAATAAATTGTTCTGCTCAGTTTTATTGACTGAGACACCAGTCTTACAGCCACTGTTGTTCACTCTCACTCTCTGATTCACACTGCAATGGGATTCTGAAATGAACTAATTTTAGGCAATGCTAGTAATTGGTGAGAAGAAACATAACACAATGAATATCATCTTCTTTCTCTGCAGAGGCGGTGAAGAGTTTTGCTGTCCCTAAATCACGTATGTACAATATATTTAGTGTCTGTTGATGTACAGCAATAACTAGACTGACATCTTATTCCTAATGTGGAGTCCTGTGTTTGGCTTTGATTAACTGTGTTTGTATCTCTGTATTCCAGAATGGCAGTGGCTGTGCAGTGCTGCAGGTAGGTCTGTTATCTATTGAAGATAAAGATTTGGTAAATACATCTCTACTGTCCCTGGAAAACCCTGGAAATCAAAGCTTGTTATATCTATACCTGTACTACAGATACATGTTTCTTTAAAATCTCCTACAGAATCTCCCTTGGAGCTCCATCCTATGTTTGTCAATTGGCCAGTAGAGGGTTCTTTCAGGCCAGTGTAGAAAAATAATTTTATGCAAAGATAATATGCAACACCTTCATGAGAGGCTAAAACAGGGATCTTCAACCCTGGATGTGGAGAGCTACAATCCAGTTAGTCTTATGTTAGCTGTTTGTAATGAGTGGGAAAACTGCAAATTAATAATTACCATTTAAGTGTTGGTCCTCAAGACACTTAAGAGTTTGGTCCCAAAAGTTAAATTACTGTATGTATAGGTCATATCATCTGCTTAAATAATTTACCAGTGCCCATTTGCCAGTGGGTTTCAGAATGACTTGTTGGGAAGACACATCTGTAAATCTTCTTTTGAAACATACATACATTTCCCATGAAAATAAATCTAATTATTGCTACTTTCCCAATTTATGTTTAATTGCATTGTGTTTTTAATTAGCCAATCACATACCAAAGAAAGATGAAACAACACAAAAAAAAATAAACAGCTGACCTAAAAATAGCCTTTTCTCGAAATAGAAATGATAGCTGAATATAAAAATATATATATTATTGGGTGTAAGAAAAGCAACTTGAATCATAAAAAATCTCACTCCTGTTTGTAATAAAATAAGACTAAAGTTTCCCGTTAATCTTCAGTGAGCTCTTCAGTGATTTTCCACACTGACACTGGAGTACAAGATGTGACTTTATTGGAGGCTAATTGGAGGCACCTTTGTATAAATAATGGGAAACTTTGTGATGGGGCTGGGGTCTTGACACTTGACAGATTGGCCCTGATGATGACAATAAATCTCTTCAAGCTTACATTATTGATTCAGCCAGTGATGGAAATTAACCCCCTAAAACCATTGTGTGAAAGAAGTGTGCCTGTGCACTCACTCCTTCACTCACACTGTCTTACTCCTCCCCTGTCGTTTAACACACATAGCCTCTTGTGAGAATGAGCAGTATTACTCTGTAGGCCTCTCTTGTTTGAGAAATAAATCAATCAACTAGGCTGATGAGTCAGCCGAAAGAAAGTGTTATGACTTGTTCTGTTTCGATAATCAGGGCAAAAGGAAAACTAAAAAATATCACATGTCCTATTGTCATAGGAAAGACAGTTCTGACTTGCTTTGTACACTATTGTTTGTATTTCTTCATTACTTCATTTTCTTTGGCTTTATTTGTGGGTATTAGAAAGGTTTTGTTGACTTTGTGAAGCTCAGTCTCACAAATGTAATATGCTTAATAAAGGACTGACTATAAATAATACTGCAGCTGTCTCTAAGAGTCTCTGATTTTCCATTGTAATTTAAATATACAGATCAGCAATCTGACAATGAATTAAATATTCTGAGGGGGAATATCTGTGGGATCTGTGTATCCTGAAAGACTTCTCAGATCCAGAAAGTAGGATAGTAAGAGAGTGGACTGATTCTCTTTCAGAATTGGAGGCATTTTACTGTCAGGTGTCTTATTTGTCGTGGTAAGAAGAGTGGTATTGGGGGTATTTATTTGTCAATAAGGAGCCTGTTTCTTGGGCTGGGGAATTAATCTGAAAGATGTGCTCAAAGCTGCAGTGATGTGGGCTCAGAGACTCAGTGACTCAGATACTTTAAAAGGTCACCTATTTCAATATCAGTTAATTAATCAACAACATCGATAAAAGGGGGGAGGAGGATATTTACCTGAGATTCTGGGGTATCTTCTTGGGGCAAGGAGAATAAATTTAGTTATTATTATGTGTTTCAAGGCCAGAGTGATCATACATAATGAAACAGTGAGTATTTAAATATACTGTATCTTTCTACAATAATAAAGTTCCCCATCAAAGTGATTGGGAGTATTCAACTAAAATACTCAATATGGGGCTTTCCCCAAGGCAAAACATCTTGCTATCTGTGTTTCCTGTATTATTAAGGCCTCCATTTACAAGCGCTTATTAACAGAGTTAACTGTTTTCTTGACAGTAGCCATGACATTGTAATGTCGCTCACTTCAGCATACAGTAGTAATTGGAGAGGACATTGGGCTATTAGTGAATAAGCACAGAAAGGTAATCACAACATCTCTTTTAACTGCTCAGACAGGGTTTTAATGGCTTGAAGTTGGTGAATGTCTCTGTGGTGTCCTCACTTCAGAACAGCACATACTGTAAATATCAAGGTTAGTTTCTCATAGTTAGTAGAGAAGTATCATTTACTGGTTTTGCGGTGGTATTCTTCTTCTTGTAACAGAGGTAATAATAATGGTCTCTGTCTCTTCAGTCCAGCTGTTGTTTTCTTAAAGTCCTGGTCATTAAGTGATATAGCTGAATGTTTAACTGGAGTGTCAATATGACTTCATTGTTTCTGCATGGTGAGGATACTTACTATACCTGTCACATAGGAGTCCTCTTCCTGGGACAGGGGTGATATACAGTATAGTATAGTTTGTGTTTCCACACATAGACTCTCCCTTGGAATAAGTCAATGGTTGACATAGCATCTTCTGCTATACAGACAAATTATGAAAAACTGATATAAAAAAATATTAAGGTAAGATGTTGCCTTGTTGTTTTCAGGACTGCCATTTTTCTCTTGTTCAGCTCCATCACTTGTCACTTAATTACAAACAGGAGCTGAGCTCTATTCTTAACTCTCATATATACTACAGTAATAATTTAACTGCATTCTTTTATTGGTTTTATACAACAAATATACAAAAGGAAAGGTAAAGGTAAAATTGTTTTTTTTATTCAAAAGACTGGTCAGGTTCTAAGAAACAGATTTCAGTTCTTCCTCATTCTCTTCTTTGTCCTCCTGATGTTTCCTGTTTTATTTCCACAGCTGAACTGACACTGGACCCCGATACAGCATTTTGTTATCTCTCCCTGTCTGAGGATAGGAGAAAAATGAGATGGAAGGTTTTGCCTCATGTCCTGCCTGACAATCCACAGAGATTTGATTCTCTGTCCTGTGTCCTGAGCAGGGAGAGCTTCACCTTAGGGAGATACTACTGGGAGGTGGAGTTGAATGACCAGTGGAGAATAGGAGTTACCAGAGATTCTGCAGAGAGGAAGGGGGGACTCACTTTCTCTCCCGAGAAGGGCTACTGGGTGCTGGAGTGTGATTCTTCTCATCTGACTGTGTTGCCTAGGAGGGTGGGGGTGTATTTGGATATCGAGGAGAGGAAGGTCTCTTTTTACTCTGTGGATTCCAGGACTCATATCTTCACTTTCACTGACATGGTTTTCAACCAGGGGGAGAAGATCTATCCTTTCTTCTGGACCATTGATGAGTATAAAGACCTTGTGGTGCTGCCCCCTGTCAGCTGTGAAGATCAATCACACATCACTGATTCATGAAGAAAAGGTAACTCACAGCTCTCACCATTAATATACATAGTTATATGCCATTTCTTGGACAATTTTCTAGTGGGTCTTAGGCAGAAAAAGTAGATATCTATATTGGGACCAATGTCTTCTCTCAATGTTCACAGTGGATTGTGGACAACATGGCTTCAATAAACAATTACAAATGCAGCAATGGTACTTTGTATAACAGACTCAGAACAGTGAAAGAAGTGGGATTCTGTTTGCCAGAGTTAGTGACATGCCACTAAAACAAACAAAGTTGACATGCTGACTAAGTGAATCATGATTCATGCAATGGTGTCATCACACCTGTGTGCTGCCTTTAGACCAGGGTGTATTAATGTGGGAATAAAGGGCCCTTCCCAGGATGAGGAGAATATCTGTGGGATCTATGTCCTGAAAGAGCTCCCAGATCCCGTCATTAAGAGACTAGGTGGACTGTCTCACTTCCAGAGTCTGAGATATTTTGCCATCAGGTGTCTTACTATATTTGTTGTGGTGTGAGGAGGAATGTAAGGGTATTTATCCGTCAGTGAGGAGTCTGTTTCCTGGGTGGGAGAATAAAATCTGAATAAGATGGGGAATAAGATCTGTGTTAACTTCTGAGAGAGGCTGCAGTGATCTGGGTTCAGTAAGAGACCCATTGTGTGTTTAACTCAAAATAAGTCAGTCATTGCAATATCAGTTCAGTAATGACCATTGGCAGTGAATGCTGGGGTATTTACCTGGCATTTGTCATGTCTTTGCATGGCAGCTGAGGTAAATTTAGCTTCTGTGTCCTTGGGGTCTTTATCTTCTTACTCAATGTGACACACTGACTGTACATCTAAGAATATCTGTGTGAATAAAATACACCAATATAGTCATTTGGGGATATGTAATTTGAATTGAAGTAGTTTTTTTCCAGGGTAAGGGTAATAAAGTTGTTTGCGTACTGCAAAAATAATCATTTGAATTACACATGCCAGCACTGGGAGAGGAAGGGACAGTAGGATATTGAGCTGTGAGTTATGTTTTTCTCTCTGGGGCGTAATTAATACTGATATGTCTTTACAGAAAGTGTTTTAATGACATCAAGTCAGTTAGAGTCTCTGTGGATTTTTTTTTCTCAGAACAGTTCAGACATATCAGTCAGTTGCTCATGGTGTGTTTAGGAGCGATATTTACTGGTGATGTATGGGTTTCCTCTTTCTGGACAGGGGCAATAACTTTGTGGTCTTTCTCTTCAGCCCAACTGGTGTTCTCACATAGTTATGATCATCAAGTGACACAGTGGTGTGTTTAAGATTGAGTGTCTATCAGGACACCTTTGGGACTGGAGTGATATGTAGGGTTTCGGTATTTCGAGGCTGATAAACTCTTCTGTGAAATATGTTTGTGATTGATTGTCCTGTTCTACCCAGATTAAGTACTGTATGAAATATCACTGATATTGCCCTGTCAGCTTCAGGGCCAGGCTGCAGTTCCCAACCTTGTCCATTAGAGGACTGCCTTCACTTATCACAGAACATCAGGAACACTATTGTGTAAAAATGAAGTTAGGTTTCTTTTATAAATGTTTAAAATCTGCAAGTTGAAAAGAAAACTTAACACAATAAATGAAATGGTGTTCCTTTTCCACACTGAAAATTGAAAAGTTTTAGAAAATTTTTGGTCTCTTGACCACAGAGAAGAATTGGTGGACAGCGGTGGGCTTATTAATGCTTAAAAAAATTAAAATTAGGATCAGTGGTTCATTGGTGTAAAATATACAGAATGTATGTATATACACAGCATATACATAATATATATACATACAGTATAGGAACAAGTAAAGGTTAAATGCTCACTGAAAAGTAGAAAGAAGAAATGCAATGTTATACTGTAGCTGTTGAGCCTCTTCTGGCGTCATATGCAGTGTATACACTATATGTACAGTACAGCATCTATAGAATATATATATTACAGGCAGAATGTGCTTTTATAAATATTGTATGCATATACATATATGCCATAGTATATACAGTACAGCATGTATTCACGTTATATACAGTATACAGTGTATGCAGAATGTGTAAATAATACATTCTGTATACATTGTACAAAGACATACTGTACTGTATATATAATGATATTCAGCATTGTTAAATTGCTCTTATTGTTACTTTTTATGTTTAATTGAATACATATTTCTGTCAGGATTTATGTGTTTTTGATTATCCAGAGCCTTATTATTATCATAATTTAATTTGATTTCAGTAATTATTAACTTACTTGTCTTTGTTTCTTGAGGGATAAACATACTATATTTTACATATTGTAATTTTCATATGATTTGCAAGAGACTCTTCTGATCTCTCCTGTTTCATTCCAACAGCTGATGTGACTCTGGACAGCAGAGTGGACAACAAAATACAGCAAACCTACCTCTCTCTGTCTGAGGATAGGAAGAGATTGTCTCCCTGACAGTCCAGAAAGATTTGACTTGACCTCAAAGATTTTACCGCAGTGAGACACTACTGGGAGGTGGAGGTGAATGACTTGTGGAGGACAGCAGTAACCAGAGAGTCTGTAGTGTGGAAAGAATATTTCAACATCTTTCCCCAGAAGGGTTGCTTGTGTATGAACCCTTACTCTTATGTTTTCTCTGCTTTCATTGACCCTGTAACTGATCTCCCCCTTACTTGGTGGCCCAGGAAGATGTGAATATGGGTGGATATTGAGGAGAAGAAGATCTCACTTTTAAACAGTGGAGTCCAGGACTCATGTCATATGTATACGTTCCCTGATATAGTTTTCAATCAGGCCACTTAAGATCTCTCCTGACTTCTGTACCTGGGATTCATAAAAAAGGCCTACTGCTACCGTCTCCTGTTATACTGTTTGGAGAGATCAAACACATTACTGATTCATGAACAGAGGGTGACACAGTCACACCTCTATGGTATGTATCTATATTAATATTATTAAATTTACTCACCGTTATTGTTTTTTGGCATCTGTGTGGGATTTTGGGTGGGTCAGGTTTGACATAGGACTGAGTAAACGACTGTGTCAAGACTGATGTCTTCATCACTGTGGATTGTGGACATAACTTCAATTAAGTTAATTTTGTAATTAATTAAAAAAGAAAAATAAAATAGTGCTGCTCTGTGTCACTACTTTGTTGTACTGTGGTAGTATTTAAATAATTTAATTCACAGAGTGAAGTTTAAATTATATTATAAACTCACATTTTCTCCTTCTGTTTCAATCTGTATATATTCTCCATCCACCTTAAAACAAATTTAGATCAGTTTAAATTTGTATTCCCATCTGCTTCATTGTCAAGATATTTGATTTTTGCTAAAGCTTCACACACCATACAAAGTGTGAAAACATACAAAATGTATACTAAAGATGACAGTAAAAGTAACAACACCCCTCAAATACGTTTCATGATAATGCACACCCCCAAGCACTAAAGAACCCACTTTTTCCTGTTTGTGTCTGTGTCACTGTGTGTATGTATATGTCACTATCATACTGAACACCAACACACCACCAGCTACACAAACCTTGTCTTATCGTGCCCATTCTCCCAGGAGTGCTGTGGAGTAGGCTAATTCTACATCAGCAGCCGGTCAGACCTCTTCCACTTCTCAGTTAGGATGGTTGCTAAGAAACTGCAATCAGACAGGAAGCTTGCTTCACCTGTGAATAATCCTCCCCTCTCCTGGTGAAGCATAAGATTTAAAGTCTAAAGTGATCTGCTCGGCAGTTGCTTGGAGTTCCTTGCTTCCCCAGTTCTTGCCTTGCTCTGTGTTTGGTTTCTCGATCCTGCCATGCTTTTAACTGGAAACATGGACGTACCTTTGCTGCTGTGTATCACTTGTGTTACAAATCGTTCTACTTTATCCCAACCTCGTCTTGTGTATTTCTTTTAACTGAAGGCAAGGACTTTCCTTTGCTGCTTGCGCCGGAGAGTGGCGACGTTGAGTGTGGCTCCTCGTCTGTTCATTTTTGTCTGTTTCGTATTGTGGGTTTTCTGAGTCCAGTCTGTTTTTTCAACAATTATTTATGACTGACAAGTGCTTATGGACATTGGTTCAAGAATTGTTGAGTTAAACACAGATATATCCTATTTGGAACTGAGTCAACTATCCTGGGTGCCTCTGGGTACGGACCCCCCCACCTGACTCACCTCACGACGGACCGGGAGGTGCGGTAAACGGGGAGGACTTCAAGCGAGAGTGAAGCGCCGTGGCTACCAGACCCCAATCCCGAGTGTCCTCCTGGCCAACGTATGTGGAGAACAAGATGGACGAGCTAAGGGAAAGGTTAAGCCATCAGCAGGACATCAGGTATTGCTGTATTCTCTGTCTCATCGAGACTTGGCAGACCCCCAATACACCCGACTCAGCCATGCAGCTTGACAGATTCTCCACCTATCGCATGGATTGCTCTGGCTCAGCCGGTAAGAAAAAACGAGGTGGTGTTTATCTGATGATAAACAACTCTTTTGTGTTCAAATTTGAAAATTCTGAAGAGATTTTGTTCTCCCGACCTGGATATCTTACTGTAAAATGTCGGCCTTTCTCTACCAATAGAATTTTCTCCTGCTATCATGTCTGCAGTGTATATTCTACCCCGATCGGACGTGAAAACAGCACTCGGGGAATTATATGCCAACCTTAACAACTATGAAACAGCCAACTCTTATGCTGCATCTGTTGTTGTGGGGGACGTTAATCAAGCCAACCTTAGGAAAGTTCTTCAGAAATAATACCAGCATGTCTCCTGCCCAACAAGGGGTGCGAATACGCTTGATCACTGCTATGCCGTAATCAAAGACGCCTACCGCACAATCCCCCACCCGCACTTTGGGCAGTCGGACCATCTGTCGGTGCGTCTCCTGCTGGCTTACAAGCAGAAGCTGAAGTGGGAGAATGTGTCCACAAGAACAGTCCAACACTGGACAGGGGAGACAGATGAAGTGCTGCAGGACTGCTTTGAATCTGTGGACTGGGCCGTGTTTAAACGTTCATCAGCGAACCTGAAACAGCACGCTACAGCTGTCACCGATTTCATTAAGAAATGTGTGGATGTCTGTGTACACACAAAGACAGTTCGCTTTTTCCTTAACCAGAAACCATGGTTTAACATCGACATCCGAAATAAGCTGCAGGCACGATCAGAGGACTTTAATGTCATTAGACCAGCTTCCAATTCTATAGTACTAGGGAAGGTAACTCAATAGAGATGCTGCCCACTGTGATTTCCTGTCATATCTTGACAAACATAACCTCGCTCACAGGAATGTTGTACAATAATGTAAATGACAAGTAAATTTACACAAATCTAGGGATATTCCAGGGATAAGGGACAAAGGGCATACGTTATCTCACATACTGTATTTGTAAAAATTTGTGTTTATTCCTTTAATAATAGGAACTAGAGAGATTTTTGGGAGCAGCAGTTTCTTAAGGTATCGTAGTGGGGATAGACCATAGGAACATAAAATCAGAAATGAGAGGAGACCTATCTAGCTTAATTGGTAAACAAGCAGTTTAAAAGATAAGATCAAACATGTACACACCCCAACAGTTATGACCGAAAGAAAGAAGCTTTTTTTTAGAACCGCCCCAAAAAAGATGGAAAGCAGGAAATCACATGGTAATCCCCAGGCTCTTTCAGGGTGGAGCAGGCCTTACGAGAGGGGGGGCCAGCAGGGCCACTGGCCTCGCCTCAGCCAAGAGTGTGTGGTCCTCCACTTTAACCCTTTGGCTGTGTTTTTCAACATGAGCCAAATTTGGAACTTTCACCATGTACTGTGATTCTTGACTCAAGTCCATGGCTGTGAAAACAAATCCCCCTTTCAGCGGGGGGTCTCATTCTTTAGGAGTTTTCAAAATGCTTAATCTTCCCATCATGCTATTCTTTACATTAAACTATTTTTTACCCCTCCTGAGGGGGGCCTCACAATGTGAAATGGCCCCGGGCCTCATGTGAGCTCTCGGAGGGCCTGGAGTGAAAGGAATACAGCGGGAAAGGAATACAATTAAATATCTTCAAAGTCTTCAGGAGACAGGCAGAGAATCTGGTGGGAGGCCATAACAGTCCAACAGCTCTAGATCTCAAAATTTTAGATATAAGGGGTTCCGTCTTCTCCCTCAGACCTTCGCCTGGCAATTAGTATAACACATCGCATTATATAATAAGACATGTCACTGTTCTTTTGTATGAAATATAGAAATAAAATCAAGTGAAATACACACATGAAATAAATTAGAAAGGAATAGAAAATAAAAATGTAATTAAATCTTAAAATGCGAATGGGTAAAATTGAAAAATTTAATACACTACGTTTACATGCAATAGTGTATCTACCTTTCCGTTAAATGTAAATCAATATAGAAATACAAAAAAACAATTAAAAAATGATTTCATCCTTATGTACCTTCATCATGTACAAATTACAGAAAATTTTAATGTTGTTCTCATTAATTTAATATAAAATATACATTAGAAAACAATGAACACTTTAGTAATTCTACAATTATAAAATGATGTTCAAATGATGAATTTCAAACCATAGTAACTATATTTGATATATATATTAATATTTAGTTTTATGATAAATAAAGGGACTGAGACAAGAGCTGTTGTAACTGTATTGAAACTTTGATCGTGTGAGTTAAAACTGTGACATGTTGATTAGATTGTGAGTGAATTCTATTGACACAGAAACATGATACAGCTGACGGACAATGGAGAGAACACCTCCATCCACCTCACTAATTTTTTATATTTCAATCAAACACTGTTCTTCCATCTCCCTTTTTGTCAATGGCAATAATCATACGTTATAAACCCCCCTGTGCTGATGAGTAGATGTTCAGTACTGAAAGTTTCAATGATGTGAGCCTCCATAGCGAAGGTGAACAGATATGAGGAGTCACTGTTACTGTGAGTTATATCAGGTGCTCAAACTGATCAGTCAGATATTTAAATGTCTATTCTAGTAACATTTCTGTACACCAGCACAACTGAATTATCTCCCCAAGATCCCAGAGTTGATTACTAAATGGGGGTTAATCTTTGCTTCACTAAGAGTGGACCTATCTAGGACAGTCTGACATTTGGTGTCACAGTGAAGAATTAGAACCCCCTTCTGTTAGAAAGCGCTTGAACATATTTTCAAGTGAGGAAACAGTGAATACTTATAATGACCGATGTGTCAGCCCACATTTTCCATGTTCCATGCCATTGGTCAGCCGGAAGCACACCAGGAACCAGGCTGAGTGGATTTACCGCTGGTGCACCTGAGCACTTAGGTCCAGATCTGGAGCAGAGTCCCAGAGGCATGTCAGGACAACGGGCAGACAGAAGGCTGACAGGCTGAAGTTCCAAGGGTGGAGACGAGGCTGGCTGGGAAAACAATTGGGTTGTAGGTTGGAGACAGGATCTGGACACATGGCAGGAACAGGCAGGGAAGGACACCATGAGAGAGGTGCTGGGCATATAGTATGCAGACAGGTTTGGGGCCTTCAGTTCCTGGGTCTCGGATTTCGGGTCACAGGGTCTGGGGTTTCTTTCTATTTCTCTTAGCAGCTGAACTGAGTGTAGCAGAAACACAGCAGTTCAATGACAGAGCACCTTTCCTGGGGCATATTGGGGATTAAGTAAGGCATACATATATTTTAATTAGACACCTGGGAGCTGGCCTGGTAGGGAGAAAGTCCCACCTAAGGTAGGCCCTAGCAAGTTTAAATCAGAGCTCCAGGAGGAATGGGGTTGATTGTGGATATGTTGCAGTTCCTTGTGGCAGCCATGAGCTGCGGGCCTCTGCTGGTCTGGGTGTAACAGAAACTGTCCATCAAAAATCTATACCTCCCACAAATCCACGAATTTTCTTCCTTGGTTCCTGCGTTCCTCGCTTCCGTGGTGAATAAGAACTTAGATAATTTGTGTTTCTTCAAGTATATGTTGTTCGTTGTTTTTAATTTGAACTTTCAAATGTTCATGGGAAATGTACTGCTGTGAGTGAGTTATATGCAGAGAATGCTTAGGAAGAAGATGGAATACTGTTTTGTACTTGAATGTTCACTTACCCCCTCAACTAGGTGGATAGGAAAATATGATATACAGCTGCATTATTGCTACTTTTCCGA